CGAAGCTGGCGTAGTACGCGTGCTCCATGATGGCCATGAGCTGGATGGCATTGTAGCCCAGATACTTGATCCGAGGCAGCATGTTCTTGGTGAACTCCTTGTAGGTTGCCACCTTGGTCTCCGGGGAGGAGATGCCGACGTGTGCCTCGTAGATCCGCAGACTCTCGGGCTTTGTCGGACGCTGGTGCTTGAAGTGATACCGCTCGGCCTCGGGAGGGTTCCAGAACACCGACTCGTAGGTCGGGGAAACGCTCAGATCTTGTACGACGCGCTTGATCCAGGCAGGTATACGGTAGATTCGCTCCCCACCGCGTGTGACCATCGTGATCTGCGACGAGAGAAATCAGCCTTATCGTGCAACAACACCACCAGCCGGGGGTCTTGTTTTGGTTCAGCCGCACCTTGATCTTACTGTCATGGGGAATGGCTGGAGCCCCATCTTTAGCTGGTACTGTGACCTCCCAAACACCAAAGTCATTCTGCTTCATCGGATTCGCCTTGATGTCCCAATTGTCTGCCCAGCGGCCCCTTTGTTCAGTAATTCGCTCCATTGACTTCAAGGAAATAACACAGAGACGTACTGAACTCGCCAACTAATTGGGCCTCAACGGCCCCCGGGGCCCATTCCCTGTAAATAACATCCCCGTTCTCGGCGACATTGAGGCCGAATTTCTCATAGCCCTATCGGTTTTCAACCCGACGGTTTTTTGTCAGTGGAATGCGGGATGATTCGGGACTCTTAGTAGATAAGGCAAGATAAGTTCGATCGGACCCGCGATCAGCTCGCGGGGTATGGTGTTTGGTAAAGAAAATAAAATCAAGTAAGTACCCTGCTGAACTTTTCCAAGCCTCCCTCGTGGTCATTGATCGTTTTGACCCAATGCTCCACAAACTCGAATCTACGTTTGAGAGCGTCGCGGTGCGGCTCGAGCCATGGGTCGAGCTGGATGACACCTGAATCAAAAAGGATGAGCGATGATCAGCAAGCTTCAGGTTATAAAGGTTAAGGGGGAAGGAAAAGTCTCACTCACCGGTGCCATCTGCGGGTGCTGAGTCCGAAGCCATTTAGACAGGTTAGAGAGACGTGATACTTCGGATCGGAGGCAGAAACCGGATTGAAGTAGAGCGAAACGAACAACAACGTCCAGCACTTTTGGGAAAGTTTAGATCGAATGGGGAGTCAGTGATGAAAAGAAAAAGAAAAAAAGACAAAAGACAAGGAAGAGAGAGAGGGGGGGGGGGGGGGGGGGGGGAGGCGAAAGAGGATAAGTTAGGTTGAGCGTTGAGGAGGGTAAGGTAGCTCCAAGAGCACATGCGGGGGTGGCAGTAGCAGCAGCAGCAGCAGCAGCAAACAATCTAAGGACGGTCGAGGCCAAAGCTCCCCCCATCTGTACCATACGAGTCTAGTGCGGGATTCATTCCTGCTTCGGAGTTGCGGGTGACATCACCCCCGCTTGCTGTAAGCCGGCCACTTTCCCCTCAATTTCCCCTCGGTCGGCAGCGAAGATAATTTTCAATTGCCTAAGGATGAAAATCAAGGCTCTATCCTGGAATAACTATCAAGCTCATATCAATCAATGTATGTGCTGGATGCAGTATAATCTCTCAAATGTGGTGATCTCAACTGGTGTCAAGGCCCAGGTCCAGGTCCATGTCCAAGCTCAGGGGCGATAAGGTTACATCCAGGCACCGGCTGGAACCACTTCCCGCATGCAGCAGGACGCACCAAAAAGGGTCGCAAGACAATTCATTGGATTTGTTCTATGCTATATATTATATTATCATTCTCAGTGGGACAGGCTTGTAGGCAACACTGGTCTATTGCAAATTCTCCCTGCCTGTCATTTTTGGGGGACAGTCGCTGTGCAACCAGGCTGCTAATCTCATTTCACAGCAGAGTTGGAAATCGATCTAACATCCTAAGCGTTGCAGCCACCCACTTCCTCTTCCTGGGACTCGCCCCATCCCTGTCCCTGCTGCCACTGACCTCCCTGGTGGTGCTTGCTAGACGAGCTAGACGAGCTAGACGAGCTGGGGGCACTGGTAATCTGTTCCTGAGCGCTGCTCACAGAGGTGGTGGCAACGAACTCAGCAGCACTGGTGGCCGCAACGTACTCAGAGGTGGAGGACGACGACGACGAAAAAGAAGAAGAAGACTTCACAGCGCTGGTAGCCGAGCTAGCAGCCGAGCTAGTAGCACGAGCTGCGCTGGTCGCAGGGGTACCGTGGCTAGCGCCAGAAGAGGACAAGGACATCAGGGCGCTGTAGGGAGTAGCGCCGGGGTAGAAGGAAGTGGGAATGGTAGGGATCGGAATAGAAAGGGTGGTGTCGAAGGCCGCAGTCAGATCGGCAGCCATCGTGGTGGCGGAGTAGCCCGAGGGAGCAGAGCTCACAGTGGTGGTAGAGGCGGAATAAGCGGCGTGGTCGTCACTGTCCTTCAGACAGAATCCAGATCCATAGGCACTCTGGCAGGAGTACCACTGCACGCTGCCCTTCTCAGTCCACATGGCGAAATCCTCAATGGTGATGTCGTAGCAAGGAGCACCGGTAGGGCAGATCATCTTGATGGGTCCACGGGTCAGACCGTATTCTTCAGTGCCCTTCCAGTTCTTGATCGTGAAGTTGCTCATCTGGATTCCATCGCCCTCCACAGTGCTCATACTGGCCCACGCACTGTCGATGTCAAGGGAATAGGCGTTACCGTGACCTAATAAGTGAAATGACGGTCAACACTCGTCTTCGTAGTCAATGAGGCAGCGTCTGAATACATACCAATGAAGTTCTCAAGGACGACGTTCTCAATGAATCCACTTCCACCGTTGCTCTTGATCAACATCATGTTGTTCGAGTTCCAGGTGTAGATGTTACGGTAGGTGATATCGGTGACGTTGGTATCGGTTCCGAAGGAGCCCATGCCGCAGCCACCACTCCAGTTGCAGTAGATGTTCTCGACCAGGATGTTGTGTGCCGGGCTCTGCAGGTCTCGTCAGGATTTCATCTTTGATATGGTTCAGAACACAGAGTCCTACCTTGATCGTAACGCACTCATCCTTGTTCGTCACTTCGATCTATGTGATGCTGTTAGCCTCAGTCAGATTGCAAGACTTGAAGATATCCTCACATCGTGGATCCAGATGTTGTCACTCCACACGTCAATGCCATCAAGACCACCGTGGTTACCACCACGAATGGCCATGTTGTAGACTTCACCATTGGTGCAAGTGTCGATCGAGAAGTGGAAAGCAGGCGAATCGACCAGAATGATATCGTGAACCGAGAAATCCGTAGTATCCCACACGCGCAGCAGGCGAGGGCCGGAGTAATTGTCATCCTTGTGTAGCTCGTAGCCCAGACCCTGGATGGCCCCCTTAGAGTTGCTGCTGAAGAGTTCGAAGTCGCTGGTGTGCTCGATCATGATCATGTTTCCGCCCTCCGTGCTGTCACGGTAAATGGTACCGTCCAGCTGCAAGGCCCAGGCTGAACCTCCGGCCAACTTGACCCAGGTGGACATCGCATAGTCACCCTCGGGGATATAGACCAATCCGCCCGTCTTGCAGTCGGCAAAGGCAGAGGCCAAGGGAGTGCCCAGGTCGGTCGATTTGTCCGCCTTGGCTCCGTAATCGAGAACATTACAGGTTTTGGTGGCAGCCTTGGTACTGGCCGAAGTCAATGGTCCAACAGAACCGCTCAACTGCGCAGCAGCGAGAAGGGGCGCCAGGCCCACGGCGGCAAAAAGAGAGAGTTTGTCGACAAGCATGATGCCGTGCCGATTTGGTGATGAAGAAGCGAAAATGAACGAGAGAAACAAAGAATCAACAAAGAAAAGAGTGTAGTAGAGACGTCTGTCAAAGAGTGTACATGAAAAGAAAGGAAATTGAGAGTATGGGTCACCGAGTCCACGTCAGCGAGCCTTTGCCTGACTCTTTATATCAGAAAAGCATTCCATCGTAGCGGCCATTTGCCGACAGCGGTTTGTCGTTTGAGCTAACCGCCTTGCAGCCGCTTAGAATTCTTCTTTGAAGTCTTGAGCCGCGTGGAGAGTGGAAACCAAGGAACAGGAGACGTCTCGGTTGTCCTTAGTCGATAGGCTACTCCCCCATTGATCGAGTAATGCTATTCTTGACAGCACACAACGGGGCAGCTTGCCCAACTAGGCAAAACCTGGCCCAACTTAAAACCATCAGCGTCGGTCATACACTTGGTGCGATGGAGTTCGCGGAGCCACTATGGAGAGCCAGGTCCTGGATTTGGAGTATGGTGAGCAGGCTCTGGACCCTGACTCAAATAGATTAAGTCCCCCCCTGATGGGCGCGGGTTGACATCGGCTAAATCAGCGTGGCTTGAGCTTCGGATTGTCTTTAGATAAGGGCTAAAGAGTTCAGAGCACTGGAATCTCCGACTTTTGAATGATTGAACGTTTTCAGTCACTATGTAAATAAGAAGGTATAACAAGACGTGGAAAGAGTAGTAATGGTAGTGAAACGATGAGAGATGAGAGAGATGAGAGTTGGAAAGGGAAGGTGCCGAAGTCGGCGGGAAGAACTCCTACTAGCAAGTTTCAATCTTTCTTCTCACCAGAATTGAAGTGGTCGATGAATGGATGGTCCGCTCACCTGAAACACCAGGGCCACTTAGCCCTACCCCAACAACAATCTCCACGCCTATTCCCCTGGAGGCTATTGGAGGCTGGGCATTGCTCAGGGGCCGAACTGCTTGTCACAACTTACTCTCCTGATCACTCATCACTGATCATTTAATGACATAGAGGATCGCGGAGGACGGATATTCCGTGTCTGTCCCGTAGTCCATCATTCCGTTCCCGGCCAGCCGAAGTGGTCAAACCTCCTTAGGGCTGTCGAGCTCCATCGTTCAGACGTCCGTCTCAGTTCCCTGAAACAGATCGCCGGTGTGGCTAGGATACGCAGTGAATTGTGGGATAGACTCGGCGAAAATCGGTGGGAATCACAGTAACTCGTAAAATTAGATTAAATCTATATAGTCTGGGGTTTCTCCCAATATATGCAAAACCGACACCCCCGGCTGGATCGCATAGATACACCAGAATGAGATAGATACACTGTAGCTTGTTCGTTGCTATACATGGTCGGTTACCCATCGGGCCATCACACCGACGTTATCGAAAAGAGAAAGGGTATCTGGAACAGGTCGAATATTGGCGCGGCGTCCACCAAGCATGGTTCCCTGGAAAGAGCAAAAAATACGTTAGTCTCGTTCAAATTCCTTTTCCCATACTTGCAGAACCAGCACCACTCACCATTTACAGGTTGTCACCAACAGTGCCGACAATAGTGCCGACCGAGGTGCCAACACCAGGAAGTCCGAGGCTGCTGACGAGGCCAGTAACTTCAGGAGACAGCTGAATGAGAAGATAGGAGCCATCCTGACCAACAACGGTGAGGAGCTGCTCGACGGGGGTGCTGAGGTCCTTGAGAAGGTCACCGATGCTGCCAGCGGTCTTGACGATGCTGCCAACCGAGGTGCCAACACTGGGGAGACCGAGATTGGCGACGAGGGAAGCGACAGAGGGGCTAAGCTGGACGAGAAGGCGCTTGGCGTTAGGGCCGGTGACCTCAAGGACGTTCTTGACCTGGGGGGCAAGATCCTGAACAATCTCGCCGTTGGAGCGCTTCAGGTTCTGACCCAGAGTACCGACAACAGTTCCGACTGGGGTACCGACACCAGGCAGGCCGAGACCGGAGACAAGAGCGGTGACGGAGGGGTCGAGCTGAATGAGAAGAACACCGCCATCCTGACCAACAACGGTGAGCAGACCCTCGAGGGGCTGAGCGAGGTCGGTCAGCAGGTCACCGAGGCTAGAAGCAGATTGAACAACGCTGCCAACAGCGACTCCGACGCCGGGCAGGCCGAGGCTGGAGAGAAGACCAGTGACATCAGGGCTCAACTCGATGAGGAGCTGCTTGGCATCAGGTCCAGTGACGGTGAGGATCTGCTTGACATTGCCGCCCAGGTCCTGAACGACATGGCCGCTAGCAGAGCCGGCAGCACCAGAGGGAGCAACGGCGCCGCTGGAGACAGAAGAGCCGGAAGAGGAGATAGACTTGGTGACCTGAGTGAGCTCAGACAAGCTGCCGGCAGGGGCGGCGATGGTGGAAGTGGCCAGAGCGGCGAGAACAGCGAGGAAAGCAGCCTTCATTGTGATGATTTGCGTGATAGGAAAATAAGAGAGGAAAGTATGTTGATTAAGGTATAGTAAGTATTAACAAGGAATGACAGGAAGTTGGACTTCGAAAAGGAGTGAATGATTCGCTGCTGGATGAGAAAAGAATAGAGAAGGATGGGTGGTGAAGACCTTCTTTATATACCAAAGCTGGAGCAGAAAGATGATCCCAGGTCGCTGGCTCACATTCTGTGTTGAGGAGGGCTTAGGAGTGTAGGATGATGATGGATCGACAGCAATTGCCTAACCTGTAGCTTCTGCTCAGGGGAGCCAGAGAATGAAGCTGACGAGCTGCCTCGTTGTGGAGACGGATTGGCATAGGATAATGATGATCATAGTCTGTTTATCCTCTCAGGGTTTACACCGTTTGAACTTTACCTGTGATCATCAGGTACGGTCAAGTAAAGACATATCAAGATCCGCGTTGGCTGCATCTTGCTTGCATGGTCATGATCTCAAGACTTCCAACCACAGTGTTGGAGGTTAGCGATGAACATAATTTGGGCTTTAGAAAAGCGCACGACATACGTGAGCATCAAGCAAGGTACGAAATAAAGCCGATTGCTCATTCATCACAGTTCACGAGGTCCGCTGATCTTCACTCAAATCGCATGCAGCCTTCGGAACAAATCCCGCCACTGCCATTGTGATCTGCGCTTTCTTTACTGTCCCACCACGCGGTGGCTGAGAGCCACACTTTCGGATCAAAGGAGCTTTTCCGATGCAATGCTGACCTACTACTGGCTTGAATGATACGCATACCTTTCTTGATTCGAGCTAGAAACTCAAAGCGCGGTGATGCCGGATAGTAAGCCGAAACTGCCTAGGACATGTGAGCAATTGACCAGAGCACAGAATCCATGCAGACTCGACAAATGTTTCTGGATCGAGCGACTACAACCAGAAGGTCATTTGTAATCATCCTGGCATGTATGCACTTATATGCATCTAGCAAGTTAAGATTTGGTATACCGTTTTCCTCGATGGAAGCGACGATGCAGTATTCTATGCGCCGAGAATGAATGAACCCGGGGAGCTAGGAGCCTTCTTTCAGAGATCCAATTAAGAGAGACGCTTACCTGCGATTCATGTTTCTCAGCCAGCTGAAGGTCTCTAGCAACTACTGAGCCGTCCCTAAGAACCCTTTCTCCACGAAGGTGGAGATCTCGAGGGTAGGAAACCACGGGTCGTGCTCGTATAGTCTACAAACTGATCGACCTTGCCTGTCAGCGTTTCAGTAACCAATCCAAAGACAAGATCGGCTCGGCAGTAGTCCTTGCGAACATCTCCGCGGTCTCCACACCCCGACAATAGGGAAATATAGCCCCCCAGGGCAGCAAATGCAGCTCGACCCTCGAGGACGATTGACTTTGCTAGTGGCATGCCGCTACTGTGATTAAGGTTTCGCCTTCCGCAGCATGCAGTACCAAGTACATCAATACAGTACAGGGCCTGGGAAGTGGCTGGAGTTGCAGCTGCTGCCGATCAGGGTAAAACAAAGATGTCGTGCTCGGAATCACACCAATGTGCTCATACTCGCTAACGCTCTTGAGAAACTGCCGATTGTGATTCGCTATGCGGTTGTGAGTAACAGTCGCGTGTTTTCGATCTGTGGCTGTCTGACAGTAAGTCAAAGATGTAGTCAACCGGTCCAGTAGGGTGGCTGTACTGTAGACGGACTGACATAGAGTTGGTCAAGGTTGAGCACGGTGAAAGGCAAAAGTGCTCTTCATGTTACAAGCGCAAGAGTAGCACCACGTGGAGGGACTGCAGGTTCTGAGAATTGAACACATCCCAGGGAAAGGGTAAACAATAGAATAGTTTATCCAGGGAGCCAAAAGGCGTCATTGACCAGGCATTGGGATTGTGATCTGCTCTGGAGTGGACTGGGGTGGACTGAAGTGGACTGAAGTGGACTGAAGTGGACTGGAGTGGACTGGAGTGGACTGGAGTGGAGGTGATCGCGCGTGAGGTTGCTTGTTTCGAAGGCGCTAAACCAGGTACAGTACATGCCTTGGAGCCTGAGCTGGGAAGGACCCGTAGGCCCCCGGGTCGGCTGGGCTGTAAGCTCTATGGCGGAGAAGACCACTTCCAAGTTCGCGCCTGCTCCCCCGTCAACCTACACCTCCCACTTGATGAATTTAGTCACAACCGTCAGATTCTTTGATGCTCATAAGTCCACGAGACATACTTGAACCAACATCCTCCTGATGTGTACTTGGTTCCCACGCCGCAATTTAGTTACGATTCTGATTGTGCTTGTGCAGGAGCCCCGTTAAGGGGTAGTTTCCGAAGTCCCGAATAGTTGCCGATAAACGCGGCGATCTTCTAGAACTGGAACTGCGGTGATCGACCATTCTTCCTTCTCCTGGCACTTCCGGGCGCTTCTCTGGGGCAGATCGTATTGAGATGATGATCTACACAATTACAATTGTCCGCACTGGGTCATCATTTCTGCTCCATAACACTAAGAAAAGAAAATATTTGCAAGTCCTGCTTTACCCATTTCTAGGCAAGTCCTTCGTCTACGTCTACTGACGGAGTTGAGAACTACGGGTGTTGACCGCAGCCTCATTATGGTCCGAACTGTACCACTGACAGAGCTCTCAGGGTGGCCCCAATTCGATCAGAAAAGTGTCTTACTTCCTATGTTCATGGAAAAGAGTTATGATGTATTTACGAAGCTGGACTTGGGGGCAATTCGCCAGTGAACCAGCCACTTGCCGTCTGCCCAAGTTCAAAGTCCAGCGTTCCACCTTCAGCGAATATGTCCTCCCACGCCAACCAGCTCTTCTTCCAGTCTTTCCCATTCAACTTGAGCGACTGCACATAAATATCGCCTCCGCCATTGCCGTCACCGCCAGTGGCAGTGACACTCAATGTCTTTCCCTCTCCAAGGTCGATGGTAAGGGACTCAAACCAAGGGGAATGGATGAAGAAAGTCGACTGCCCAGTAATAGGGTACAGCCCAATCATGTTCCATAGTATCCAAGTCTGCATAGCACCCGCGTCACTATTTCCAGGAAGACCTGACGCACTCGTACCATAGTACGATTTAGCGACACTGCGCGACCGTGCAACGGACAGATCTTGTTGGCCGATATAATGATATAGGTAGGGGACATTGAACATGCTAAGCACATGAATCAGTTTGCGCATCCGTGATTTTGATCTGAGGACACGGACTTACGGTTCGTTCGTTGGATCAAAAATGATACCACTGGAACCACTGGCCCCGTCGGTAAACATGGTGTCAAGCCGTTTCTGTACGGTTTCATTTCCTCCCATCCACTCAATCATCTTCTCCATATCATGGATGGCATTCAAAGAGTATGCCCAGCTGCTGGCCTCATAATAAGGATCGCCCCAGTAGCCACTGTCGCCCAAGGGATCGGTCTCCATGAAACCCGTCTCATTGCGAGGAACCACGAAACCAGAGAACCCAAGCGAGGTCTGCTCGGGATTCCAGTGGTTGCGCCAGTTGCGCGACCGGTTCAGATACTTCGTCGCATCTTCCTCCTTTCCCAACCCCGAGGCAACCTGGTATAGACCAAAGTCATTACAGGAATATTCCACTGCCCGTGTGACCGATCGGGAGTATCTGGGTGTGATAAACCCTAAGCGAAGCCAGTCCGGTAACGCACCTCGACCCTCCTTAGTCGAGGAGTCAGGAGCCTGGGGATCGACCGGAGAATTGGCAGGCGTTACTTCCGCATCTTTGACCATCGCCTTGTATCCATCTTCCCAATTCACCGCGCCACGTATCCCTTTGACATAAGCATCTGCAAGGATGTTATCGGCATTGGAGCCTCCTTGAGTGCGCCCGTTATAATTGGAAGAGCGAGCGTCCGGCATGTAGCCTTCGAAGCGCCAGATATCGATAAGTGACCGTATTTGCTCCTCATAGGCAGTTGGCTGCAAAATCTGCATGAGAGCAGTTGAGCAGCGGAAGAGATCCTTGAATCATGTGAGCGATGCACTTCCTTCTCGGACTACTCAAGGAGATACTCACCCAAAATGTGAATATGTCCTGATAGTAGGGTTCCGAGGACGACCATCCAGGGTTCTCGCCCGTTTGGTTAGTCGGGATCAAGTGCATGAAATAAAGCGATGTATACAGTAGCTTGAGAGTTGTTTCATTGGTGTTGCTGGTTGTCACCTTGGACAAGACCTTGGACTCCCATTCCTCTTGAGCTTCAGCGACGACAGAAACGAAATCTTTGTCTTCCGGTATTTCATCATTGACGTTCCTGCAGGCCTGTTCGGTGCTGATCCAAGATATTCCTACTCGTGATGTCACAGAGGTATCCTGGAATGTGTACACCGCCCCAACGCGAGTCGAGCCTGAGCTAGACGACGCAAAGCCACTGTTCTGTCGAACACTGCCATCTGCATCCGTCCCCACATAGGTTCGATTACTGACAGGAGCAGCATCGAAGTAACCACCTGGTCTTCTATGAGCGCCGTTCCAAGGACTTCCGACGCAAGGAGAAAGGAGGGGACATACAGAAATAGATCGACCAGTCAGGTGAGCGGTTCCAGCCATTGTCATAAACACCATGACCTTCATAGTGCCCGTCCGGGAAGACAGTGATGTTGCCGCCTTTATAGCCCTGACTCAGTCCCATCCCTCTATAGGACGGCAAGACATGCGAAACATCAATGAGGACGTTTGCCATAGAGCCCAGAGGGAAGGTATAACGGTAGATTCCCGCGTGGGCGGACGCGCTCAATTGCACCACCGTCCCCTCGGAGGTCTGAGCTTGGTAATAACCCACCGCCGCTTTGTCCGTGCCTGTACGGCCCACGGTGATGTTGGAGAGCGGGTTGGTGATGTGCCCTGTAAGCGGCAGCTGCGAGACTGTGCCGTACTTGGGTGCACCGCCTGTGCCCTGTTCGTGCATCATACTGAACCCGGAGAACTCGCCATTGGGCAGATAGCCGGAGTAGGCGTCTGTCCCAGAGACATAGAGGTCAGGGCCCAGTTTCACCATACCAAAAGGACGCGCAGCGCCAGGGAAGTCGTTCCCGCCATTTTGCGTGCCCAAACTGGAATATGCCACCATTAGCTGTCTTCCCCTTCCTTCTGTTTGACTCTCGACGCGGGGTCAGTACGAGAGCTATAGCGACTTACAATAAATCTACATGAGAACTCAAATTCGCAGACCGCACAACTGGTCCAAGCACGGACCAAATCAGAAGAGAGTGCCAGCAACCCATTGCTGAGGTGACTGAGCTGCGGCAGACAGGCAACAAATATCGTCTTGGGTCTTCAATTTCTTTGCCCACTTTGGGGAGAAAGCCTCGAGAATTTATCCTACAAAAGAGTGGACAGCTAGTAATAGTACTAGCTAGCTAACGGATTCTCTGGTCGTCCATCAGACCAGCCCTCTCTTCGTCAAGATACAGAGACTGACATCAGAGACAGTCGCGAGGGCGGGGAATCGAACGCGAAGATTCAGGGTAGACAGTACCGATTGGAGTTCCTTGAAAGAAAGTGTCGATCGTGCTCAAGTACTTGATGATGTGATTGATAGGGGGAGGGGGGTTTAATCCACTGAGTGCATTGGAAGTCAGCACATGCTGTGGTCACCAGCAAACGCCTCTCGTCTGTCCCTTTAAAGAGTGCCCCATCCACTGGTCAGGAGCTGGACATCCCAGTGTCCGTGTGGGGAAAGGAGGGGGTACAGTAGAATGGGACTAAACCAAGGGACTGATGCACTATAGATATAATCATGCATCCATGGTCTGTCGGGTGCTTGCAAAAGTGGACGGTAGGCCCTGAAATGTGAGCTCATCACACGGGTAGACTTCTAGATAGGCTTCTAGACTGCAAAAATACATCATTGAAAGCAAGTGTAATGGCAATCATGGCCAATAGCAAACTGGACCGAAAAGAAAAGGAACGTCAGGAACGCATTCCTGAATACTCCGTATTTGTTGTAAACTGTGCTGGTATGGCCGTCCTGCCTGTCAAGGGATGGAAAGGGAGGGAGGGAAGGGAGGCCAACAAAACATGAATGAATTCAATCATTGAGAGCTATAATACAGTACATGATTAGGTGCAACATCAGTCTGCAGAAAATCAGCCATACAAATTCAACCTTCATATCAGATCCTATTCCGGATGAATGCTCAGGGCACCTAGTATAGGTTTTAGGCCAAAGACTCAAGATTCAGAAATCCCGCCGGGTGGGAAGATCACGAACCAGTCATAGCCCAAAAAGGAGCACATGGCCCCGTCCTCACCCTTGACTAGACTACTAGACTAGTGACTTTATAGGATTCTAGGTCAGCTCTCCAGGCTCCCTTTCTCTGTCCCTTTAAGTTACTCCCTGCTTTCCCAACCTTCCTAGGTATGTAGTCATCCTTCAGTCCCTAGTCTAAGTAGTCCGAACCACTATCCTCCCTTGCTCGGGTGCAACGCTAAGTGGACTACGATGGGTGGGTTTTTTTTTTCTCCATGATACGATATGGGAATCCCGGTCGGTCTGTTATTCTCACTCATCCTCATATATCGCATCGGGCCAAACTTTGCAGATGATCAGGAGCTGTGCCTGGCCGGCTCTTCAAGATGTCCCGTGGTTTGTGTTCCGACGGGAGAGGAAGACTGTTTGTTTGGGTTTCTGGGCCAATGATTCGGCCACATGCTTCGGTGACTCCCGGTCA